TAAACTCTCAAAACCAGGTATTTGTCTGTGACTTCAAATGCAGTTAGAAATGCTACTTGCAGGATGTGTTCCCAGTGAAGCAAGTGGAAAGTCTGCTTAATTACTATCCCTCCTTGGTTCAGTCTGCTAAGAAGATAAGAGATGTATAATCCCACACCCACTGTCCCCTTTTACAAAGAATTTGTGTTTATGCTTAAACCTGCTGTTTTTACGCTGAAGCACAAAAGAAAAACACCAGGACATGGGCAATTGGAGGGTAGTAATTAGTTTCTGTTTTCACATGAGGATTTCTTAATTTTGTTGTTGCTGTACAGCATCCTTAGAAATGCATGGTGTGTGGAGGCTTTTTGATGTTAACTTTTTTTTTAATGAGGAAACATTATCTATGGTTTCCTATGCTAGATTGATGTGTGGATGTCTTGGAAGTGGTATTTGTCATCTTGAAGGAGCTGAGTAGTAGCTGATTGAACTAAGTGTTTAGGAGTCAACAAACTTTTAAAATAGCAACAGCATTCCTTCCCTTCTGTCTTAAGCACTTAAAGCTGAATCAGTTTTCAGAAACCAGTGGTCTAAAGCCCTTTGCCTTTACCTTGCCCACAACTTCAAGTCCTGTGCTGCAGCATGCCTTTTCCACCTGAAGTTGGATCCTGGAACAACAGGGGGAAGTCACAGGCAACGGCCCAACTTTAGTCACTTCTGTACCATCAGCACATACCTTGATGACTGGCAGCAAATATGCAGCACGGGATGCTGAACTCATGTCAAATTGTTGTCAGTACTGCACCCAGGCCTGGAATGGTGATAGAGGTACCCTCCAATTCCCCTTTTAAGTGAAAATAAAGGAGTTAATGCCACATTTTTAACTATAACAAGATTGTCCAACTGGTGGTTCTGCAGCTAACTATTCATTAACTTGTCTCTGAATCACTTCTGTTGTGCCTGCATGTGCGCTGAAGACACAGTTGCTAAGTGCAGAGTAGCACGACTGGGCTTTGCAAGTATCTAAAATTAGCACATACCCCATGATTCCTAAAAGGAGTCATGAAATCAGCTGTGATTGCAAAGGGAAGCATTTTCCTTAGCCACACCTTAAGAGCAGTGTAGGTAATTCACCAGTTAGGAAACTGCAGCAAGAGATGATGCATCATGACAATTAGCACGTCTTTTAAGCATTATAGTGTCCTATAAACCCAAGGTGAAATAAGCCACTGGTTTTTTTACAGTACACTTAACAAAAAGAGCCATTTAATCCAAGCCTGGAGATCTTTGAAGTTTTAGCCACTCCCTGTCCACTTAAATGTCCCTTCTCACCTTCCACGAGGAATCTGGCCTGCTCAGTCAGCCCCCATTCAATGTCTGTTATGCAGTAGATTTTTTTTTTTAAAAGATAGTATTTGGAGCCAGGGGGAGTAAAGCAAATACAGGTTCAACTGAAGGCTACTTATGCCAAACTTTTATTTGACTCTTGTGATCAAGTCTTCCCCAATCATAGCTATTGGTGGCCTATCACCCAAATATTTATCACTGTTTTCCAAGCTACAGTTCATCCACTTTAAGACAGTAACTTCTCTTGCTCTTCATGTTTTTTTCTCTTCTATTGAATGTTTTTATGCCTTTGAAACTAGTCTGATCTCTCATAGAATAACATTTTCTCTATCTACAAAAAACAGTATTAGACTGATCACTGGAGGCTGATGTGCTGCTCTTACAGCGTGCTGCTTCAGACAGCAAGCATCAAGCCTCATGCAGTGAGTGAGAGGATCTTTACCAGCCAACTGCCCAAGCCTCTTTCCTGCAGATCTCAGCCAGGCTCAGCAAAAGGAAGGTTTTGTGGCACCTGGTTCTCTACTAGGGTTTGTTTCCTGACACTGTAGATGACAGAGGTGGTAACCTGTGTCATCTTGATCTGTACCAAGACACATGATGATGTGGGGAACCGCAGCCAACTTCCTAATAGTACTTCCCTCCACTAGACCAAGGTGCCCATCCTTATTGAATATTTTTCAACTTCTATCCCTGAAACATTTAGTGAACCCTTCTAAAATGTGATTACTGAGTTTAGGGGAAGGGTAAAGACTGCTTGGTTTACACTTGTTTTTCTTCTAATTTCAGTTAACACAGTGGGTCAGACTGTGCAGCAGGCAGTGGAACAGGCTAAGGATGCTGGTCAGAAAGGTATGGAAATATTTCTGTTTCTGTCAACCTCAGGCCAGTGAAACCCCAGATAGGTCCCCCAACCCTGCCTTGCCCATTCTCCCTCACCAGGTGCTAAAGGGAAAGGTATTACAGTGATGTTGCAGTGACCTTTGTTTTTCTCTTTTAAAAGCTCTGGATGAAGTCTACAAAGTTGCTGAAACCGGTGAAAAAACTGTAAAAAACATAGCGAATCAAGCGACTTCATGGGGCAAAGGCTTTGGACAATGAAGACAAAAACGTTAACACTGCTGAAATTTTTGTAAACAAGTTTCTACTACATGTACTCTTAAATAAAGATAATACTGACACTCCACCTGGCTTGCATGTATTCCTTAGGAGTCCTTTGGTTACACATGAAAATAAGACAATTTAGAAGGGCTGGATTGCATCACAGAGCAGACAGCTAAAGCTGTGCTATTAATGCAGAGCAACGCTGGTTATTTTTATGAGGTAAGGGATGGCTTGGAGTAGGCATAAAGTCAAGGACTTGTGAGTTGATCTTCTCCATTTTGTCACTGAGTCATGATCGTGTCTGCAAGTCACAAAGCTGAGCACCTCAGCAGCCATTGCAAGACAAGGTAAGCACCTGTGTACTTGTGACTGCTTGTGCTTCTGGTCTTTTCTGTAAAGTTGCAGTTAGATACTGTGCTGATGAAGCCTCAAGTGTGTCTAAGGTATCCATAACCCCCATAGAAGAGCACTGTGATACTCTAATGCTAAGAGCAGAACAAGGCATTGCTGCCAGCAGACCACTTTGCTCACCACTGCTTAACACTGGATCATCGGTACAACTTCAACAGCTCCATGTTGATGTGTCTGCAGCACACAGTATGGCAGTGGAGCCATGTACCACTCTTGCAGGGCTCCTGTAATATGCTGATGGATGGTAATTAACCTAGAAGAATGAGAACTGACCAAGTTTGGGCTGTAAACAAAAAAAAAAAGCCAAACTACCTAGCATGCACATAAACTGCAATGAGTAACAAATCTAACTCACCAAGTTACAAACAGTAATTTAGAGGTCACTTACTTGGCATCTTGAAATCACAGCAAGAATTACTGTTGTTCCAACACTTCTTTCTGATAGCAAGTTGAAAACATCAATGAAACGTGTAGATCCAAGTTCTTTGCTGGGATGGAAAATTATTTTTCTACTTTTCTGTGCAATAGAGATTTTTGTACTTAGTGGTTTGCAAGAAGCATGTAACTCCAAACACTGTAGTTGTCAACCTTATGGGATTCACTTGCAGCTTCAGAGTACTTACTGAGCCATTATTCAACACAAGCTGTCTACATAATCAGCATGCAATACTGCATGAGACATTACAAACACCTGCTATGGTAAGGATGCATTTTCCTCTAGGTCATAGGTGTCGTGCAGAGCAGGCTCAAATAAGTGCTTAAAGCTAACTTGGAGTGTTGACTGGCTCCCTGCCCAACTTCCACAGTTCTTGGGGAATGTCTAGTGGCATGTAAATGAGTATGAGCAATGATAATACTGCTAGGCAGAAGATACAAAACTTGTCTGAGTATGTAATACATAAGGTAAGGAGGGGAGTATTCCCCAAGAAGTTTGTTTGAATTTACAGGGAAAATCCCCAGTGTGGCTTTATAACCTATGACCCAGAGTGACTGCTTGCTTAAACTGGGACCAGGAAAAGGCTAGTGTTGCTCTGCACCCAAGCTTCTCAAACCACAAACTGTGTGAAATTTTACCACTTTCTCCTCTCTGTTGCTAGGTCTTGAGAGGTATGTCCTATAAAACATAAGGAATATGCAATTTTATTTCTTTAACTGTCTGATGACAGTAGGACTGAGCTCAACAATGCATCAGTGTGGCTTTAAGGTACAAGACTGTTTCAGAACAGGTCATCTATCATAACAAGTCTGGATTCACTGAATTTGATTCTTGTTTTGCTACAACCAAATCAGCTGAGGTGCTGTAGTCTCAAATCAGCTCAAATAGTCCCAGTTAGCTAGCTAATATCAGCTTTCCATATGCTTCAACACTGAAAGAGTCCCATTTTTCAAGTTTGCACAGCCAAACTAGAGGTGCTTTACTAGCTAGAGAGAAGAGGAAACGCAGGGGGGAGAAAGGATGGAGAGCAATAATAAATTGGCCAGGTCTCTTTACTTTTTACTGTACTTCACTTTCAACAACTTTGCTGCTGGATAACGTAACTTTGCTTTTAAGATTTTCTCTTTTCAATAATACAATTATTTGAGTTTTTAGCCTTGAAGTTTTGATGGGAGTAGGTTACAATTTGTCAGAGTTGAATTGCTAAAAAAATCTTTGTTTAGCTTTACTATCTAATGTTTACATAAAAAATTGCACTGAAAAACATGATCCAAGATACAGCTCTCAAGTTGAGAGATCTGTATCTTGATCACAGTAATTCTTTCATGCTCAATTTTTTTGCAAATAAAAAGTCAGTATATATAGACACTGCACTTTGATCTTCTTTAATGCTAGATATCAGTATATATGATGGAGCAAGCCACTGATTAAATGTATCACACAGGTTTATTGCTCCTCGCTAACTCCTAGAATAGTTCTTCACACAAATTTGAGAGGACACAGTAAAGACTTAAAATGATTTACCAAATACATCCAACTTGAAAAGGCTTGTTGACAGGCAAGTGCTAAGATAGATCTGTATTAGTGAGCCCTTCAGGATAACTGAGACAGTATCTTATCAGTAGGCTTGTAATGAATTAATAGGTGTGTTGTGAAAGAGTCTGATTGATTGTATCTGCTGAAAGCTATTGCATGAAATAGAAAACAGTAATACACCGGCATAGTAGGTTTGGAAAAGTCAACCTTTTTAATAACTGCTCTTCTCTCCAGGTTATGTTATGCAGTTACAAAGTAGTTAGAAAAAAAGCATGAGTTTCTGGGAGGGCCTAGTTGTCTTTAAAAAAAACCCATTCATATTCATTACATAAATAACATCTGGCACTTCAAGGGGACTCCACTGGACAAAAAGCCTTACATCTTAAAAATTATGCTTGATCCAATATTGTGTTGAGGTCCACTTTGTTGTATTAAGTGTTCAAAACTTTCAAGACCTCCCAATGTCAAAAAACAGGCTGTGTGTGCTGAGACAGTGGATTAAGTTTATAGCAGCATCCTAGCTCCTCTGTAGCTTAGCCAATGATTTCTGGGTTCACTTTCACTTTAGTTGTTCATTGAGGCAGTATCTCATTTTCAGAAAGCCTCTGAAAAGACTGAAAAAGAATTCCAAAAAAAGCTAAGTATGATTGCTTACCAAATTCAGAGTATCCCTTTTAAAAAAAAAAAGGAAACTATAGTCAGAATAGTTACGTAGATAATTGATTTAAAACATAACTAGAGTTGCTCAATAGTGTCAGCTTATAAAAATAACACCTCTACATACCTCATGGTGATAGTCTAGCTTAAGCAATAAAAGGCAGTCCTATAACAGCAGCACAGTTAAAGAAAAAACATTGCCTAAAGAGAATCAGGCCTGTAGCTTTACTACAAATAAAAATTAGACTTCTATCAAAGTTAATCCCTGCTGGAGGCCCATTCTTTCTTTGACAATGCCACAGCATTGATCATACAAGGCCTTATGGAAAGTGCCAAAGCCAAAATTATATCATTAAACAAAAGTGCATGAAGTAATAATGAGCTAAGTGCTCATTTAGTACAGTATCTGATCTGAAGTCTGAGAAGTGGCTCAGGTGGCAAGACCACTCTTTCATACATGTACCATTTTGTTTTGTAGGCAAAATACCCAGAACAGCCCCCACAAGTGCAGCTGAACTGTTACCTTCAGATACATACTTGTATACAATTTCCTAATCCATGGATTTTTTTTATTGTAAAAAAAACAAAAAGGGGCTAGTTTGGACTGAAACTAATTGAGAATAGATCCACTATAATGTCAGAAGAAAAGAAAATTTTGTGGTTACATGTAAACTTGTGATAAGCTTTCTCAAGAAGAGGGTACATTAATGGCAAGAGGGATGGAACAACAAGGAGCGGTAAGGGCCTGTTTATGTGAAGGTCAGGCCAGCCTCATTGTACACTTTGAAGACCTTCTCAATTGCATTGACATAGGCAGCTGTTCTCAGGTCCAGACCCAGGTTGTACTTCATGGCAGTACGCATGATTTGCTGAAACAGAAAAGGTTATATATGATTTCTGCAAGCTTCTCCATAGGAACTACACTAGCTTTTGCTTGGAGGACCCAATTTAGGAGTCCAGGAGCTGCAAGACTGGTATCAGAGCTCTGATCCTTTGTGGATCAGTTCTAAAATTTCTTGATTCCCCTTATAACTCAGATCTGAATGAAAGGAGGGAAAAAATCTTTCCCAGATGACTACAGCACCCTCCTTCAGGTCTTGGATCCATGTGTACTTCAGATATGAGAGAGACAAGATGGCTCAAGTAGTCATCGCTCCACTAATTAAAAATACTGCATAGAGGGATTATTCTCAAACTGCTGATGGCAAAGCAAAGCACTCTAAGTATGTGTCCTAGTTTACTTCCTGACTTCATGTATTAGTCTCTCATGTTTACTATACCTAGTTAAAGTTGACCATCCTAGTATAGAACAGACACACGTCAGACATACGTCTACACAACCAATTTAAAAACTGTCACAAAGTCATGTCTTTCTTTCTATACTGAGTAACATCATACTTACCCGGGCAGAACGCTCCATAGTATAAGCCAACCCAGAGTGGACAATGTCTTTTTCAGATGCACCCTGCAAAAACAGAGTAAAATCAGGATTTAATCAAAAATATTAGTTCTGTGTTAGGGACTATGACATGCTGGACTCCTCTAATTACTCAAGCTTGCTTGCTCATTTTCTTCTAATGGCCAGTGTAAGAATCTAAACCACCTTCTCTGTGTTACTGAAGAGCTAATTATGGTTAATTCAATTCTAAAACCTCAGATGTAAGCACTGAAGTCTTTTATATGCCTGGCTTCTAGATGCACGATGCTACTATTTTTAATTGATGTTGTAACTACTGTTTTCACCCTTCAGAACACAGTAAATGTTAAAAGACAAAAGATCCCAAGAGTTAATAAACTCTAGAAGCTACTTGCAAATTGTTTTGATGACAGGTGTTAGGAAGGGCATGGATCCCCAATTAATACATTCAACACTGTATTAGCCTGGAGCAACTCCAGAATAACTTTGTTCCCATTAAAATTTAAATACACAGAACAATAAATAATGGAAGAGTCTGAATTTGGGTGTGTACCAGCTTCAATCATCCATTAGCCTTTCTGCTGTAATTTACTAATAATTTGAGACTTGTCTTCAGAAAATGCATTATTTTCATCAAAATGTCCATCTTGGCTGGATGTAAAAATTACTAGGCTGGTTTCTATGGCTTGTTTAAAAGCTCACAGGAATTACTTTCAGCCACAGAGCCGATCTACCATGCTATTCATTTAACCTAATATTCACAAAATTGCTAGCATCACACTGGATCAGGCTCAAGTCTATTTCTATCATCTGACAGTGGTCTAAGTTTATGTGCACTTCGCTTGATTTCTTTCTGAGGAAGCATGGCTTAATGTTTTTCACAACTCATTGGGAGTTTTTTCCCCAGTCATTTGTTGCATCTTCTCCTGAACTTGTGTTTAAAAATCAACTGACCAAACCTTTTATCTTCCTTACATACCTTGGCAGAGAACTGCACAGCTTAGTTGTTGGTTACACTAGCAACTATCTTATTCTTCATTCAGCACCTCATTTAGTTGGTTTGGTTTGAAAGCATCTTGTTTTATTTCACCCTTCCAGTGAACAATCTGTACTTACTTATTTACACATCACTCATTCTGTAGATTACTGTCTTCACCCCAGAACTAGCTCAGGCCTATAGGACCTGTTCCATGTATGAGAAGTTTCAGTGGGTTTTTTAATTATTTTTGTTGTTTTGCTTTGCACTTATTCCACATGTACCTTTTATGATACAGAGACCTAACCTGCACACAGTCCTCAGAAGGCAGAGATACTCTGGATTTATATTGTGGCATCATTAGTCAGTCCATTCTTTTTCTTTCAAAACTGCTTCTAATGCTGGATTTGCTTTTTGACTGCTATGGATTTCTAAGGTTGTATTTTGTCATTATCTCCAGATCTTTCATTTGAATGCAAATGAATGAGCTCACAACCCATTATTTTAAATGAAAATTTCCCCACCATGTTTTACTATGCATTAAATAACAATGAATTTTACCTGACATTTCTTTGCCCATTAATTCAGTCTTAGGGGAACATTTTCCAATTTTTCACCCAGCTCTTGTCTATATTATCCTGGAGTTACAAAAAGAGCATATCAATCTGTCTGTGGGGTAGGATCTTGTTGAAAGCTGTCTGCAAACTGTATCAACAAGATCTCCAATTCTGGTAATGTTTGAGGAAGTATTTCTCACTACAAAATCTCTGTAGACTTTGATAGGTAGGATTCAAAGGCATTATAAAACCTACGTATTTATCAGGTTAGCCAGCAGAAATATCAAGTCTCATAGCAATCAAAAGCATTAGGAAAAAGTGTATGTTTTTAAGTTCTTCAAATTGGCCTGCAAAAAGAGTAATTCCCTGCTCCTTCCTTGGTACAACAAACATGGGTTGTCTAAATAATGGAGATGATAGTCTGTTGCTCTGAAAAACTCCAGTATATCAACAGCAACATGCAACCTAACACTAAGCACAAGTTCAAAATGCACTTGCATTAAAACCACAGCTTCTTAACAATATTGGAGGTATTTTTAAATGGGCTCAAGTAAATGAAAGAAAAAAATAGCTCACTTCCAGTATTCTTAAGCAGTTCAGATCATTTGCTTGCTTTATTTGTTTGGCCATCAGGTTAACTATGTGCCTTGCTTGGGGTAAAAAGCCTCTGTGATAGCTCCAATGGTAAAATTTATATTGCAGTTGTAATACCACAGTACAGTGACAGTAACAAAAAGTAAATCAACAGCAGCTATTTACCGATATCCTGTCTTGAAATTCTGCTGTAGGCACAACTGGAATAGTTCCACCGTGTTTCCCAAATTTTCTTTCCAAGCTTTCCTGAACAGACACTATAAAGGAAAAAAAGCAGAGGTAAGGTAACTGATAAGGAAAGGAATGTGCTTCCTACCCAAAGGAGCAGCCTGAGGACTTCCAGCATTCAATAGCATGAAATGCAGACCATAGGGACTGAGAGCAAAGGGACCTATCTTCTTTTTGTTTCCTAAGAAAAGAGAAAGATGTTGATTTTTCTGTTTTTATAGGTGAATGCCTCTGAAATTAGTAGTAATGTTGCTATAGTACAGTCCATATGGCAAGCAACTCTGGATTGACTGATCCCACTTTGCTAATCTCAAAGAGCTGCTATAGGAATCCTTCCTAACTCGATAGATAGCTTTAGACAAAACTAGTTTTTTCCTTAGGATGTGAGCAGTGCTTTGGTATTCTGAATGGACACTTATTTAATCTTAATTCTTGAAAAATAATCAGTAGGGTTTTCTAAACAACATAATGGAGTATTTCAGATTATATCAATATTGAAGTTAAGAAAGACATTTATATTAGAATTGCCGTAACTCTCAAGCACTTAAAAAAACACCTTGAAAGGTATAATTTATTATTATTATTATTATTGTTGTTGCTGTTATTATTGTTGTTATTATTATTATATATATATTACTATTTATATTTAAAAAACATATGTATGTTTTGTGAAGTCCAACACCCCAAGATTTTCAGATATTTTCTACAGAGTCTTGATTAAAATGAGCAATATCCTGCAGTTCTTCACTAAGCTTCTCTCTCCATGTAATTGATACTCTGGCCCAGAAACTGGGAAGCACAGAATGACCTTAAGTGGAGCTGTAGGCCATAAGCACCTGTACCAATTATTGCCCTTCACATAAATCTTCTGGTTTATGTGCAGAATAATGTTACCCACTTGAACTTTGAATGCTTCTCAAATACCAAGTGTCCAGCTGTAAGGTGTTTATTAAGAAGTAATAAATATCTCACATAAGTGCCATTAGTTCAGTATTTTCATAAAACTGAGGAAAGTATCTTTTTAGGAATCAAAAGGTAACTGAAAAGTATACATCTAAGTTAAGTCATGAGAGCTGCAAGTCAGTTACCCTATCACATCTTTCCTAGTCTTCAGTATGCAGCGATAACAGACTTGTGGGAAAACTAGGTGAATTTAAAATAGTTCTGTATTCATTTCTCCCATATTTGGTGTTTGCTAGTCCACCTATTAAACAGTAAGCAAAAGCAGAAGTGAACACTTACTGAGTAAGTGGTAGTTTGAATCCCTTTCATATTTAAAAGTCAGGCGACCATAGCTGACATGGTTCAAGTTTTTCAGCCACTCAAAATAGGATACTGTTACACCGCCAGCATTCAGGTAAAGATCCTGCACAGAAATAGGAAATGTCTTGAATTGTGACCATGTGAAAAAAAACAGCTCTGTTGTACTAAGGAAAAAGAAAGCAGAAGTATTATGCACCAAGCCTTAGTTAAATGGCAGTACAGAAAACAATCCAGTTGTTACTCTTATGTGACAACACTTGCCTCCTCTGCAGTCCAGGCATTACTTCTACTGATTTACACGTGGACTTGAATTCAGCACAAGAGAAATTCAGGTGTGCATGACTGACTACTTTTTTTTTTTAGCACAAGTTTTTAATCAAGAAAATAAGGGCCAGCTTCAGTCATCTCAATGAGTAAAGGCTGCAGATCAGCCCCTCCTAGCAGTATCACTTGTTCAGGATACCCCTTTTCTGGGAATAGGTTATTAATACACCTGGATAGATCCTATTCTTTCAAATTATCACATAGGCAACATTTACTCTATACTATCTACAATAGACATTTCTGTCAGAGCATCACCCAGAGACACAATGTTTGCAGACAAATTGGTCACTGTATTTACTCTGCCTTCTTCCTTTGCTTAGTGGACTATTTAGTTGAGCAAATGACAGCTAATACTCCAAAATGCAAAAACACAGACCTTCACGTAATAGTTGTCTTAGGTCATTTATGGTCACAGTGAGGCTTCCAAGTAATTGCAATTGATCTTAAGCAACACTGACATCTGTTTCCTAGACATCAATTGTTAAAAAACGCTCCAAGAGAAGGAATTAATAAAGGCTATTAATTAAGACCTTCAATAAATAACAATTCACAGATATATTACCCTTGTAATGAAAACCAAAGGTCATAATAGAACCTTACAGGGATAACCATGATATTCCGCTCCAAGAAGATTTTGTCAGCTTCAGGAGTTGTAGGCCCATTGGCACCTTCTGCAATAATCTGAAAGGAATCACAACAGAGTAATTCAGAGGTATGTATGTCTGTTTCCATCTGTGCTAATTATTGAATGTGTTAGTATTATGACAGGTATTTTTCATTTGAACTCTCCAACTTACTTTTGCTTTAACCTTGTGAGCATTTGCTTTAGTCAACTGCTTCTCGCTGGCAGCAGGGATCAGAATGTCACAGTCTGTTTCCAGAATACTGCCCTCAAGTGTTTGTGCTTTAGGGAAGCCCATGATTGTTCCATGTTGCTGTTTGAAAGAAACAAACCAGGGTGTTTTAAGTCTGTGTGTGCTCATATGACTTCCTTCCCTTTTTCTAACTTTCAAAAAAGAAAGAAGGGAGAATCAACAGTCCTAGAAAGACAGCAGATAACATAATTCCAACCTTCACTTAGATCAGGCATAAAAAGCAAGCTACAAATCTTGGAATCTGAAACAGTCAAAAGTTCTTATGATTGAGGTAGAACTGGTCTCTGGCTACAGACACTGATAACCACGTGGGAGTATTAAAAAAAAAGTCCCTCTCAACTCTTAAAATATATGGCAAATGCAATGGTTTTTAAACAACTGAAATCACCCAGCAGTCTGCTACACACAGGGTAAGCTGAACTATTTCTGCTCAACTAAGTTTCATACCAATTTGTAATCTTCTAGTTCCTTTGGGTCAATCCCATCAGGATTCCAGATAGAACCATTAAACTCTCCAACAGCAACACACTTGGCTCCAAAACGATGCAAGTACCTCATAGAATGTAAGCCCACATTACCAAATCCCTGAAGGTGGAAAGAGAAATGGAAAAGTAGTTAGGCCTTGAACTAAAGTAATTACTGCTAAGGCTTGTATAGATTTGAATAGCTTTAAGTAGTTCTTCACCTATTGGCATGTCTTGGCATTAGAGGGTGTGTATAGGAAAAATGGAAGAAATCTGTGTGTGTTCTGGTCTGAATACCACTGTAGGAATTATGCATTGTAGCCAGCAATGTACAGTTGTGCTGGTTTTAATACTGGAAATAAAGAAGGAAATTGTTAATGCTACTATGAAAGTGTCCAAACTGTGATGTTAACCAATGTAGAAATGTTGCGTATCTACTTTATACCTTGCACTGCCTCATTTTTCTATGACCACTCTAAGGTTTGACAAACACTTGCAGGCCAGAAAATATTCTCGTTTAACGTGGGTAAGGAAGGCTTACAAGTGTAAAACCATCCCAGAATGGAAAGGATTAAACAAGAGTATCTTTAATTCTTCACATTAAAACATACAAACTGCTTGAAAGCTATGTAATTTCTAATACATTTCTGAAGTGGTCCTGTACAAAACAGATTGCTTAAATTTAAATTTAGATAATCTCACATTTCATTAGCAATTTTTACATTCTTACAGGTGTAGAAAACTTAATTCCCTTATACAACATCCTGGAAGTAAAGGAACTTTCATGGCAAACCAAAAGGTCACATAATCCATATAAAAAGTTTGTAGTAAGATTCTATGACAGAAAAGAAGCTGAATATTAAATTACCATATAATGTGGCTCCAATTATATTTAGGATTTTTTTTTATATACTAGAAACAAACTTCAATACAGCAGTTTGTTATGCACTAGGTTTCTTTGCAATGCTGTATAATGGTTTTCCTACAGGAATCTTCAGTTACTCTTCTGGCCATGTTTTCAAAGTTATGCTTCAGTGTCTGTTTTTTAGCCCTCTGTCAGCCATGAAAATGCCAAAGTGCAGGGAGAGGAGTGTACTGCTGGGTCTGTGCAGGGCAGAGATGTTTGTTTCAGGCCACTGGTTAACTTGAGGACAACTTGGAGGTTACAATTCCTCTGCTATTTCTAACAATCAGTGTGTTGGTACAAAAAAAACCAAAACAATCCCTCAAATACTCCATTTAACATACTGCTTAAGGCTGAAGAGAACAAGTTATTTCTTAAAAATTTTAAGAATGATAATGCATACTACTAATTACCAAACTCATTCAAAATTCAACTACATAAACCCTGAAGTCTTATGGATGCTAAAAAAAGTACATTCAACCTACAAATGTAGGATTGGTTTCAACTTTTCCAACTGCTCATTCCATAGTGGAACAAGAACATAACCCCCAATTTGTTCTCTCCCTATGTTTTTTTATTACAAAAGACTGCAACAAAATTGGTGTAGGCAGGAAGAGTGTAACAGCTCACTGAAAAGTCTGAAATACCCTGAAGAACTCCTGTAATAGGAGTTTGTTATTGGCAGTCTATGTTTATAAAGACTGCAGATTTGGCTTTGTGCTGTAGAGTGCAACTGCAAGTTCAGGTCTTAAAACCAGTCTGAAATAAAGGGCACCTATGTTGCTTGAAAAATACTTCTAAAGTTTGAGAGTAAAGGTTAACTTGGAAGTCATAAAACCCTAACAGGATTTATTGCTATGGCCCTTTTTAAAAGCAGCTCTACTGGTAGCTTGCTTATTCATTTTTCTCTGCAGTTGAAGGAAGAAAGTTACCTGAACAGCAAATGTTTTATCCCCAAATCCAGGAGTCATTCCTAATATACTCATATAGGAGGCTTCATTGATGAAATTCTCAATTCCGTGGAAGACGCCGCGGCCAGTTGCAGAGATACGCCCATGGATCCCACCCTGGCTGATGGGCTTACCAGTTACACAGGCATGTGCATTGATGTCCTGTAAAACAGGGAGGGACTCGTGAGCTAGGGAATTCATGAAAGAGGAGCTGGGACAAGAAGTTGTGTACATTTAGGAGATAACGGAAAGTAGGGATTGTGAGGCTCGAGACATGATATACTATATATACATTTAGCCCGTAAAGATGATTTCATTCCTGAGCTTGTGAGAACAGCTTCTCAAAAGTGCTCTAGCAGGTGATGGAAAAGTTGTGTAATGCAATACTGGATACATTCTGTAATTCTTTTGTTGCATTTCAGTGTATGTGTGAAAGTCAGTCTGTGGTTAATTAAATATGGTGGTATCTCTGTTGCACTGGTAGCAAAGAGCAGACCTTTGACAAATCAAAAAGCTTTTAGGATGTATTTCTCGAAATTAGCTCCTATTACAGCCATAATTTCCATCATAATTCTTGACATTTTAATCTTTTAAAGGGTTCAAAGATAACTTTGGACTAGTCGCAGCTAAAGCTGTTTAATCATGTTTAAAAAATGTTTAGTGTTCCTTTATGTCAAATTCAGTTATTTAGGAACAACAATACAAACCTAATACCTTAATGTTGTCAGAATACAGTGACATTTGATCTCAGAGGAAAATGATAGTACAAAGGTGATATGGGAAAAGTTAGGTATTTACTACTTTTATTCAGAAAAGCAATATACAGAATCAAGCCTCTATTGTTAATTTGGTGGTAATAATATTGCATTTTCTGCATGCTAGACAGCTAGCCAGCACTAAATAAGACTATGCAACAAAAAAGTTATTAATAACTTGAAAAAATTTCGTCCAAACTAGACACTGTTTGGGACTCCTTCTTCTGTCACCACTGGTTCCCATGCTCCTACTCCCTGGGAGCACAATCACAAAGTGGCTTGGCATCCAACACAACTGAAAGGGTAGGGATGAAAGGGAACACAGTGAAATGCGTCTGCCAGCAGCCGGATGGGTTTCTGTTCCACCAGCCACATTTTCACTGGGAGGCTCCCTCCTCTCCCTCACTTGTGCCAAATGCATTTGCATGCAAGGTGAGAGGAAGTAAAGAAGCAGACAAAAATAAATGGAGGCATAATGGAAACAAAAACTATTTATTGTTTGGAAAAGGATAGTGAGTTAACCATATAAAGCCAAATATAACCCCCCTCTAAAAACTATAAAAGGGATGCTGGGCTTGCCACAACATTCCTAATTCACTTTCCCAAAATATAGTTGCATTGTTGTCATGCTCCCTCTGGTGGCATATCGACTATAAAGATCATCTCTGGTGGTCTATGCTAGGAAAAACTTGCTCTGCTGTTTTGATGTATTTTTAGGTTTTCATTCCATTTCAGATTGAAATTAGATTTTAGCCTTCACGCATTCACAAAGGAGGAAGTAAATTTTATAAATACTGGATGAAATACTGTATGCTGAATGTATTTATTGTAGTCCCTTCACATGGCCTAAAAGTCAGGTGGATATGTCAGAACTACAAAAGAGTAGAAGGGGTGAATTTAATAAAAAACTTCAGCCTTATACAATTCCGTGATCCAGCAACTTAAGATGGATTTTCTGGAACAGTTAACATGGCAGTTTAATAAAGACTTGCATGGTTTGGCAAGGAAACAGAGCATGAGGTGAGGGCAGCTCCAGGTCTCCTTGAAGTTACAAACACAAACCACAGTCCATGTCAAAGTCCTAAAAACTTCGGGTTTAAGTCAATCAAAAACTGTTTAACACATCCTGGGCCAAGAAGAAAGACCATGACTTTTAATAAAAATCTTGTAAAACGGCTTATGACTAGCATTAAGGACTTCCGTGTTGGTAATAGTAGTTTATATACTTAACTGGCAAAGTTCAGACACTGAACTTTTGCTCATTTCTTAACCACTTTCCACACTGTAACAATATTCTCCTTGTCTCTCCAGCTTCCTGGCTCTGTAGGTTAGGTTTTGAGCACACATCTATCTGTTCTTATCTGTTATTTGACTTCTCCTTTATGCTTCAAGCTCCCTGAACACATCTGTGTGCAACCACACTGACTCATCAGGTTTGCGGATCCCACCCCTCTTGCCCAGAGAGTTATCTTTCCGCTGAATTGAATGTAGTCCCTTGCATAGCTTCCATCTGGTTTCTGAGTTATTGTTAGTTTCACTTTTGTTCAATGCTAATTTTCTGCTCTTAGTTCCCTTTCCTCCTTACTCCATGGTCACTTTTATATATTTGGTAGTTCCTTAAGCACCTTTACTTTTGCTCTTGGTGTCCCAACCAGACAGCTACCTGACACACCTTCCTCTAAAACCTGGTTTTGATAGACTATTCAAATTTTTGCAGACTTGTCAGAGTTCCTACCTTTCTTCTCTACACCTGGTCATTCTAGCCAGTAACTCCTAAATTCCACAATGGCTACTGTTCTCTCTTCCATGGACAAACAAGCAACCCAACAATATTAAATAAACTGATTGAATTTTTCTTATTTCAATGTTTTAATTTACTTTTCAGAAATATCTATCTAGATCCTCTCAGTTGTTTTTATACTTTAGGAATAAGATAATGCCTGCAGAGCAAGCCTAGGAACAAAAGAACCAGGGATCAGAATGTAGCATAATTCAAATTGCATTTTTATCCTCAGTAGTTGTTGATTTGTTTTCTTTTGTCATTGAAATATATGTAGAACTACACAATGAGCTGAGATGGCAAAGTGGAAATTACAAATTCAGCCACTTAAAAATCTTGTCCTGTATCAAGGTTTAGTTTTCCACCTATTTAAAAACATGGAAGCTTCTGTATAAAACTGTATGCAAACTACTAACAAATACAGCAAATTTTAAAACAGGTTGTGTGCTGCGAGCCTTCTGTGTCAGTCAGAACGTAACATTCTTGGATCACAGGGAAATAATACATTTTAGTGCAATGAGTCAAAATGATTAAATGCCTTGAGGTAGTTTTCTTAAATACTGGAATTTTAAATTATGACTAGGGGAGCAAGTTGCCACTCTGCATGTTGAAGTATTTTTAAAGTCACTATTTTGGCTTTTTATCCGGTTTAAAGTTTTAAATAAAATATTTACATGTACATACATGAATAACAAAAAACAAGTAATGTTTTACACTGATATCCATATCTAACAGACTGCTCTGTGTACAAGTGATTTAACTCAACTAATCAGCATGCTACAGCCCATTTCTGAAGCATTCCTTCCCCTGCTCCCCCGATAAGATACTTTAGACTGTATTTCAGATTTAGAATAACCTGTGCCATCTCCTCCTCCTAGTGTTAAAGGCAGTGGACAGCACCAGACAAGGATTTTGCCAAGAGACTGCCTCAGGAAAGCCAGGCATGTCTTGAAAAGACATGCCAGAGAGAAACACGTGTTGGGTGGCTTTAATGCCTCATTACTGGGGGTGTACACTCTGCCCTATTTCTGAGGAGCTGTTGCAAGGGACGGCAGAAAGTGAAGAGTCTTTTCAATCCAAAAGGAACTGGGATAGGCAAACATGCACTAGCTTAGAATACCAACACACTAATATGAAGCGATGGCAAGACTCCTTAGCGAAGTGTAACCTGATGGGAGTAGCAGAAATAGTGTCTGAAACAGAGGCCAGAAAGTTTTGGTACCATAGACACTAGAGCCTTAAGAAATAAGTTGTCTGTAATACATTTTTCTTTAGTTCAACCTGTCAAAGTATACAAGAAAAGTGTTTTGTTAACAGTCATGTTTTTGGTACAGTCAAAACAGGTACAAATAACCCAGTAAGCTACTGAACAACGAAGGCCAAATTAAGGGCTATAATTAAGAACTAATTTTTTAAAACCTAAACTTAATTATTTTATTACCTCCTGGGCAATAAATTCTATCATTGCTCTTCTGGTTTACATTTTGGAGAATTTGCTGAAACCTGCACTGTTTACTTGTTACTTTCAGGGCACCACAGACAACTTTAATACTTTTACAGGTAGTACCTACAGCATGAAAATAATGTAGATTGTCTCTTGAGTGCACAAAACCAGAGCACTTACTTAATAACACTTGTGAATTCAGTAATCCAAAATAGAAAGATTTCAGTACTTTGACTACACCAGCTATTATGAACTAATTGTTTAACAACTTTAAATTAGTAATTATAATACTAATGAACAACAGAGGGGAATGGTAGAAATATAAATCCATTTTTTATTTTTGCTGAACAATTGCAATCAGTATTATATCAAACTTAATTTAAACCTAGTATATAAATATTAACCTTAAAACTATTTTTCCTAAATTTTACCCTAAAAACTTCACAACAGTTAAGTTGTTACAGTCTGCAAGATATATTTAGATCCATGTAATTAAATAAAATTTTATTATTAAGCAGAATGGTAATAAATGTCTAGATAAAAGGCTATCTACAAAGACCAAGAGAGTTTTTCTACTTCAAAGACTCTGCTCAAAACTTACATAGTGTCCTATGGTACTGGCATAGGTGTCGGCAATCCAGGACATCTCCCTCTCCCCTGTGCTCATATCAGGAGCAGGCACATCAACACCAGGTCCTGTCGGCAACAGTGAAAGTAGCTTTTAAGGATCATGAATAGTTACCTTCAACCATTATTCCCTTGGGAACTGTGCAGGGCTTGGCAGAGAAGAACTGTTTTCCTGTTTAATCCTCAGTTTATTATGCAAGCAAGAGATTCTTGTGAATTCAATTCAATTTTAGATGCCACACTTGTACAGTATTGTCCAAACCACCAACCTTTCACATAAGCATTCAGTAAAATGAAGGTCAGTTTGTCAATAAAAAGTCAGGGTAAGATAATGCATCAGGAGCATATGTATGGTTTTTTTGTGGGGTTTTTTTGGCAATCATGCTGTAACAGGAAGGGTGCCATCTAGGTATGATTTCTATATACTGTGACGTTAAATGGTTGGGGTTTTCTTTGCATTAGAATTTCCTTTTTGTTCCTGGTCCTAGTTATTGCACTGTAGCACATGCATTTGATTTTACCCCTCACTTCAAGAAAGAGACATGACATCTTTCTTGATGAAACAAACACATCTGTTGCAAGAAAAGCAAATTCCGTCTGTTTTTTCTATTGAACTAAAAATAGCATTTGCCCAACCTATTTAAGATCAGAGGGACTTGCTCAGCAAGATTTTAAATGTAACTCTGCTTCTACTACTTTTTTCTAAGTATTCTTAAAAGGTTTGTGAAAGTTGCGTTGCACCAACCATAGAGCCAAACAGGAAGTCAAATTTAATCAATCATTTAGTTGTCATTGAACTAATAATCACAACAGCTGGCATTATGTATAGTATTCACCTAGGCACATGTAACATCAAATTTGTTTATACAGACACTTAATTTAGATGAGAGATACTCTGGCTGAAAGAGCAAGAAACTGCAGATAAATGGATATACATTCCCGTGGGTAGTTAGGTGTCAGGTATACATAACAGACCTCTAGTTACAGCCCTAATTATGCAGTTGAGTAAGAATCTCCTTCAGGTAAAGATCCCCCATTTAATTACAAGTGGAGCTAATAACATTCAGCTTTCTCCAGAGGAGAGTTCCATATAGCAACTCCAGACAGCAAGCTATCAGAACAACTCAGGGTTGAGAGTCTGAATGAAACAACTACTAACATTACAGAAGCTAAGGTTCTGTTACAACAGGCACCTATGCTTCTTGCCTAGGCTTCTCTTGCAGCCTGTGGTTGCCACGGGTGAAGCCATCAACTTTCTCTGGGGTGGATCTTCTATTTCCTTCCTCTGTTTCCTCAGATATCTGCCAAAAGCCTCAACTGAGACTACAGAAAACGGCAACAGTGAAGAGCTCAATATTAGAGATTAAAAATTGCAAAAAACTTGGTCACAACTTTAAAATCTACCTCTATGAGAAATGTGACTCACTTTGGATCCTGTGAGCTCAGCTTTTGAGGCTTTTCAGAGCAGAACAGCCACCAGAAAAAAACTTGAGACAGTTCCCTTTAAAATGTACTAAGATGCAATGACTTAATTCTTTGTGGCTCTTTGCTGAAAGTTACTATACCCAAATTATTTACAGCTCTCAAAAATGCAGTTATTTAAGGATACTATCTAGTGGACACCACCCATGCCAAATAAATTAGATTCTTAAATTTTAACAGTAAAATTGCACACCATACCAATAAAGCCCTTTTTTGCCAGCTCCATGGTAAACCGTCTTGTTATCTTCTCCAATTCATTGTCCTATAAAGAAAATCCAATAACTATCACAAGAAATCATTAGTGTTTATGAACGTTTGCTATAACATAGGCCCAATCATGCACAGATCCCCTTTTCTCTTAGAAGAAAGGATGATTCATACATTTATATAATTTATATGCCACTCCTTAGCAGACCCTTGGTACTCAGGCAGCACAAGGAAACATTCAGCTTGCTTTCTGTACATTCTGATCCATTACAAGTTGGGAGTGCTCTGTGCTTGTAGCAGAGATTTCCAGCAAAGAAATCTGATATCTTGTGTGAGGGATTTATAACCAGCAATAGCCAGCCTGCTGGTTGTGTAATCAACACAGTAGAACAACTTACACAAATCCTTACAGGAGTTTTGAGCTTAGAATATCTGTTACATATTCTAGTATTCCCTTCTGTAAAAGTTATTTTAATTAGGGCAAGAAGGAAAGTCTGCACTAAACTTTTTATAAGTCAAGTTAGTTATTATTCACACTGAAACACTGCATAGAAAGGTTTAATGGAGCATAAAACTATTTGTCAAAATAAACAAAAATATTAACTTTTTTTCTAAGAGTAATTTAGGTGTTTATTAACAGTATCAACTTAAAGAAATCAGGTTCCAAATTATTTATAGTCTTCTGACTTTAAGAAAATAGTGTGAGGGATTATAACCAGCAATAGCCAGCCTGCTGGTTGTGTAATCAACACAGTAGAACAACTTACACAAATCCTTACAGGAGTTTTGAGCTTAGAATATCTGTTACATATTCTAGTATTCCCTTCTGTAAAAGTTATTTTAATTAGGGCAAGAAGGAAAGTCTGCACTAAACTTTTTATAAGTCAAGTTAGTTATTATTCACACTGAAACACTGCATAGAAAGGTTTAATGGAGCATAAAACTATTTGTCAAAATAAACAAAAATATTAACTTTTTTTCTAAGAGTAATTTAGGTGTTTATTAACAGTATCAACTTAAAGAAATCAGGTTCCAAATTATTTATAGTCTTCTGACTTAAAGAAAATAAATAAATAATTTAAGTATTCCACCTCTGAAATGCACACCTTTTTAAAATACTTTTCCTACTATAGCATGCACAAACTACATTCAGCCTCTACAGAGGCAGAAGTCGCAGAAAGTTTTAAGTGATCAATAATGCCCTTACAAGAGTTTTTTTAACTGGCTGGCTTCAGTACTGCAGGTAAGCAAATTTTTATCTATGGTTAAGCTTACTGTGTAGTTCTTGGGATTGATCTTGACACCAGCCTTTGCCCCACCAAATGGCACATCTACAAGAATGCAAAGGAAAATAATTTTACTTTTTCAACAATAAAGGCAGAATGCATCAGTAACGTGTGAGGAATTATACGTTTCATTTGAACAAATGTGGTTTTGCCATATTTTGGGCTTCTCAAGTATAAGCTGTAATCTCATGTAGGTACTCCTATAAAACCAGGAAATCTTTTAAGGGCAGCTTGGAAAAAGTCTTTGAAACTCAGGAGATAGTGATTTAAATTTTCTATGCTTAAAGCTCTTGTACTTCGCACTTGTAGAAACAGTAAGCTTTACAGTTTATATTTTACTAGTTTAGCTCAAAACTTTTACTGTGGAAATCCTAAATGAAGTGTGTCTGTATACTTTAAGAAGTATTTTGTTTTCTTTTACATAATGTGCAGATTTTCTCCAAACTCCCCTACAATTTAGCAGCCATGTATGAATTATATTTCTTTATGACCCATGAAAGAATTTTATCCTTCCCTCTACACAGCTCCCCTGCCTGAATCCTTTACAGCCTTCATCTGTACTCCCTAAAATTAGCCCCCTCCTAATCCAAGTTTGTGATATATTAATTTGAGTTCAAGAGCAGTACTCTTACAGGAGGGGGTAACTAGCAGAACTTGAACTTTTCAAGTGAAAATGTAGCTTTATTCAAGTATGTACAGTAATAACAGAGGGAATATGGATTATTGGTCACTATATATTTTTTCACATCTTGTTACAGATTTTAATCAAGAGATTAGTGTCTAAAACTTAATTTAATTCTTTAGATGCTTTTCTATAAGTTACATCAGTACTGATTGAAATTATAGATTGTGTCCTTGCACAAAAATTATCACTTACCAACCACAGCACATTTGTATGTCATTAGAGATGCTAAGGCTTTCACTTCGTCCACACTAACATCCAAACTATAACGAATACCTGCAACAGACATATGAGGGAAAAAATGAATTAATAACTTAACGGGTATTTATAAATTGGGAAAGTTAACTCTAGACCAGACATCTATAATATCTAAGTATGTAATTTATCAACTTCTTTGCTTTAAGACTTAAAGAACAATCCCCCATTCTTCTACTTAAGTATCTGTCTTTTACTCAGCAGAAATTCAAGACTTCAGTCATTCTCTGTAACATAAACAGCAGCACTCAACCTTGGAACAAAAGTGCATACTCCTTGGGAGGAAGCTGAGCCAAGCTGATAGGTAACTCATCAAGTAGTTTTCAAGAGGCTGATACAGCTTATCAGCATCCCATAAGATCTTTAGCTGTGGACTTCATTCATTGTAAATAAAAAGTTGATTTGATTACTGCACATAACTTATCAGTACAGGTTATAATCAAGATCTCTTTGCTAGAATAATGCAAGCTGCTGTTATGAGCCTTGCAATACATTGGCTGCACTCCAACAAAACCATACCTAGTTTCAGGGCTCTGGTTGCTAGGCACAGCCACCTAACAGGGAGCAGCAGGCCACTGCGCTTCTTCAGATTTGTTCAAAACATTTTGATGGAGTAGCTCTACCCCAGCAAACTTGTGTGACCAGGCCACCCATCCTGCACCCCCATGGAAACCAGCCCACACCTGCATTCCCTGCTCTGAGTCACTCAGCAGAACTGCAAGAGTGGGCTGACATGTGGTCCAGATGTAAATTCAAATTGCTATGGTCTGATCACAGCTCAGATGCAAAAGGAAAGATCCCTGTCTTCAAAGCAGTTCAAAACTGAGTGGAAAATTATTACATAGAAGTAAGGAGAGCTGTCACCTGCCCCACTCTTACCAGTCTTCTAAAAATGGGTTGCAGTGGTCCAATAAATAGATTGAAAAGAAAGTTAATATTTATGTATTCTGGAGGTAGTTGCAGACTAGAAAATTTTTTAACTGAACTGACAGAGCACATATTCAGAATTAATTACAGAACCCTAAACCTGATGTTTAAGATCAACACAGTAGCCAAAGTCCTGGGGCCACAACAAAAAAAACCCCTACAACTATACATTAGCTTCTATCCAAGTTTATTGTACATCACTAGGCATATAACAGAGCCATGAAGAATTTATTATCCCCACCTGTACTCCCCAAATCCTTGGCAGTAGGTTGTGCCAAGCTGCATGGTGGTTTGTAGCAGGCACAGAGTGTCCTTTAGATGCTAGGACAAGGCACCACAAATTTCCTATTATGTAAAGAGAAGACCATATTCAGGTCCTCAGGAGTGAAAAAAGATCAGCATACATTATCCAAACTAAAGCACTGTGCTGCTATGAAAGCCATTCCAGACCGCTCTGGAAACAATCCCAGTTTCAAAGGAACTGAGTGCTGCTCACATAAAGCTGAGGGTCAAGTGCTGCTTTCTCTTGCTAGTACAATCAGTAAAAGAAAGTACCATGCCTCTGCAGAAAAGACTGTAAATTTAGCATGTATATGGGGGAAGGATGGTCTCCAAAAGCAAACTAGTTTCTGACTCAGGTAGCTGTAAGATACTAAAGTCTGGGCTTTCAAGAACCTTCTCACAGGAAGCAATATTTGAAATTTAAGTGCAATCTATCACAGCCCAACAGACCAGTTAAAGTTACAATGTACATGTTTTTTAACACACCTTACTTTGATCCTTTAGAGGAGCAGTTACATTCCCGTCAAGCCCTGAGCAAGAGCAAACACCAGCTCCAGCACTGACTGTCCTGCCTGGGGACACTGTTCCCTCTTGGTTGAGCAGGTACTCTGCAGACAGGTCTCGTTGGAGCATTGCTCAGGTCAGACAAGTCTGAAGCCCCAATCTATGCTGGGCAGAAATGAACTCTGCCCCTCCACCCCCAGATGAACTAGGTCACTGGGTATTTATTCAACCCATATATTTAGTCAAACGTGAAGTTGTATACACAAAACAGTTTTCCCATTACTATATTCATGCAGCTACACAAAATGTTGCTTATTGACATATGGAAAGCAGCAGGTGGGCTAAATAGTTAGGGGTAGTTATTTTGCACAGTTTTTAAAAGGAAGCAAAATACAAAAGGAGAGCAGCCTCTTCTCCAAATCATATAGATGGGATCTGAAAAGGTGAATGAGCAGCAATTTACCTATAAGAATCAAACACATGGCACAACAGTTACATCTCCAGTTTCCTTATATTACAGTCAAGGGTTACTATAAACCTTACTGTAATAAATAGTAAATTTCCAGACCAAGGAAGCTAGGGAAAAAAGGGCCCAAGACTAAAAGAGTCTGAGCTTTCAGCTCAGATGCCTAGTTGTCACCAGTGCACATTTACCAGAATAGGGAAATCTTTTAGACTCAATGCTGAAACTGTTCTTTTCTGGACAACATTGTATTTTTGAGAAAGATTTAGCTTCTTTTCTAGCCTTTTAAATACTTCTAGTTGAAAGTATTTAAATTGAAAGTAATTGAAAGCTTGTCTGCTGTCTTTATCTCTGTAAGTGGAAGACTAGTCAGTCCTGAGAGTTTTGTTAACTTCACTAGCCACTTAGCTCTGGTTTATCTGCTAGAAATTCTCATCAGTGTCAGGCATAAATCAGGGTGGGGATTCCAGGTTCCCTGACAGGCGTGAAGATATTTCCCTTCTGTGGCAGTAGTGGATAACATTTAAGATGCACTAAGATTTCAATCCATTTCACAATTTGGCCAGTTACTGTTTTCCAGGAATTGTAATTACTGTACAGGAGGCCAACCTCCTCTTGACAGGAAGTCATTAGTGCTAAGCTGTTAAGACTGATGTGAAGCAGGCATCTAAGAATGCTGTACATTCCATCTGCAAGGGGATACACAAAGATAAAAGACTTAATTTGTATTCTATTTGGACATCAGAGAAATTCAGTTTGACAGCTTCCTAATTTGGCAGGAGGGGAGTATTGCCAGGCATTTGTATGGCTCTTTTGGCAGTGTGTTACTATGCATTCAATAGCCTGAGTCTAAAAATGGACTGTATACACAGATATAATACTGTGGGTTGTTTTTTTTTAAAAGATTCTTAATACATAAACAAATTAAAGTCACTGCTAGACAACAAGATTATAATTTTTTTAAACCTCAGCAAGTACCATGCAGTAAGTCCTTGGAAACTTGTGACTTTTACAGCTAACTAGCTAAAAAAAAAAAAATAGTTGAAGAAAGCCTCAAGTCACAGTATGACTCACTGCCATGGAAAATACTTTTCATTGGAAAACATACATTCTTGTTCTAGCTGAGAATTCTTTTTCCTTGCCACACCCCAAGAAGTTAAATAGTACGCTGAGACAGACTTTGTTTTTCTACGTACATGACCTTCTAGATGAGGAAATTTTTTCCTTCAAATTTTGTTTCATTATTGGGCACTATAAGGAGAAGTCTTTCTCATCACATTGCACTGTCTTTGCTTTTTTTTATGATGTATTTCGGAGATACTGTACGTCATGCAGTTATCTCTTGTACTGAGCCAATAATTGTTTTGGCTAAAGTAAAATTTGCTCATGATTTAAGCTTAGCTTCTTAAACAGATGAAACAGATTAATTTTCACTTTTCCAAATGGTGTTAGCAAAGCACTTGAAACACAGTATTTTAAAAACAAATGTCAAAGTAGTAATTCTCAGAAGCCTGTATATTGTATTCTATAACAGCAGTCAGTTACCACGTTTATCAGCAGCTTTGTACTAAAGACTGTGCTAACAGGCATATAACAAAGATCTTTGTTTCAAAGAAAACTGGCTATACATCCTACTAGATTTTGTGTTGTATGGATTTCATTATCTTCCATGACATTCAAAGTGTTTATTATGCTTCCTCAGAAAACATGGTGTACAGAACAATGAACTCTTCAAGGTTGATTACTGCCTTTCTAGTATGCCTAAAAATCTACATTTAGAAAAGGTAGCATAATTATTTCCTGATATTCTAGTGGAGTGATCTTAAATGGTAGTATCTACACATGCCCTCACCACTAAGGAGCATCAAGTATTCAGAGACAAGTCCCAGAAACTAAACAGTTGTCTTAGTAACAGTTCAAAACAAAACACTTAGTAAACTACTTCTTCTCCACTAAGTATCTTGCAAATCTTAGCCAGTCTCTCAAGTTCCCCAGACCTGGAACAGACTTGCATTTCAGCCTGAATTACTAATATGTAACCAAGGCTTTTGTCCTGCTTTGACTTTGGTGTTTTCTTCTAGCTGTGTTCATCTTTTGAACTATGAAACTCATTTGGGACTTTTACAGATGACAGTTCTTGTGAAGACAGTGCATTTGTTCTGCTCAACTCTTATTTGCACACTGCTTGCTCATCAGAACAAGTGTTTCAGGGCAGCAGCTATCCTACACTACCCAGGAAGCACTTAGCAAAACAGATTTAGTTATTGCATTTTAAACTTTTGAGGGCTGAGCACACCCATATTAGTCTCCCATTTAGCACTACTGGATTCTGCAGTGGCTCTAGGGGTTAGCAGCTTGCCTGATCCAGTCCAAAGGCAGACATTATAACCAGAGTCTAAAAGGAGCTTCAGTAAAGATGTTCACCTCCTTTCAACTATTCAGCAAAATTCCCAAATAAAATCTATAAAGCAGCTTCAGCATTTATTGCAATGCCTTATTTCCTTAATGTTTTGACTCTGGATTATGTATAATATCTTTGTTTGGATCAAGTCTGGGAAGTAAGCAAGCAAGATCGCACATTACGCTACTATAAAACTCTCTGTAATCACTGACATGTAACACAGTCGGAATCAATGTTCCAAATAATCCTTAGGCTCCTTCAGAACAAGTACGTTTTTCTAAATCGAGAAAAACAACTCACCCTTCCCTAATAAGGAAACTGTTTAGCCTTATTTAACCATTTGAAAAGTGTGGTAAACAGCACAATGACAAATTTTTAATTATTGAAGAGGAAGAAATTAGAGAAAAACCTGGCACAGCAAGGTGAGTAATTTAGTGCTGGAAAACAAGAACATTCCTAAATTCAATTCACTAACTGCCAAGAGAGGAGATAAAAATATTTCTCTCTTCCCACACAGCATTACCCAGCTATAGCCTGGGGCAGGAAAGAGAATCCCCTACAGACACGTCCCACCATTCTCATTTAACCAGAAGTATCTATTCAGTGACCATTAACGTACTAAACCAGACATAGCATACCACTTTTTGTATACTTTTAGTAAGCTGTACTTGAAATACACTTAAACATATACACATATATTTCATTCTAAGCAGAGAAAAGGTGAGAATATTCTGGTTTGGGGTTTTCTTTTTAAAGTATGTTGCATTATTCAGATCTTGTGTTTTCAATGCTAATACAGCAAATTTAGTACACCTCCAGCAAAGCACCTATTACCTGAATTTATTCACTTAGAATATAATTATGAAGCAGTCTCATCTATTGAAGGACCTGAACCCTACCTAAAGTATTTGGTTGGTCATTAGGCTACACTCAACACTGCAGTAACAAGGACTGATAGGAAGGGATGCAGTAGCACTGCTTCCGTGCAGACCTTAACACCACGTGCATGGGTGTGTGCAGAGGCGGAAGTAACACCTAAGCTGGCCTTGGCTAGTCCAAATACCATAGCAGCCACAGAAGTATTCGCCACCATAGTGCTGACATCAAGCGGGCAAATTCCATACTCTGCACATGATGGGAGATGTTGTAAATCATGCAACAAAGAATATCTGCTAGAAGGACCCAGAGAACCACAGGGAGACTGTCATGCAAGAGAGTCCCCTTCTCACCCCCTCCAACATGTGTTTATCCAGAAAGCCCAATGCTGAGGGAGGTATGATGTCTCTATAAATAGACAAGGAGCCAACAGCAGCAAGGGAAAACAACTGTTTAAGATCAAGGACAAAGCTGGCTACTGCACAAATGGTATGAGCTGATTATGTGAAAAAAGTTGAGTCTGAAAAAATTCATAGTCAGAAGAGCAAAGCACAGCCTCCTGCAAGAATATCAGAGGTAAAACCACAAAACTGACACGCGTTCACTAAGAATTGCAGCTAGGTTATTAAAAGACAGCAAAAGCATAGGACACCCATTCCTTGTCCTGTTTTTTCTAGTTGCAATTTAAATTCATGTTGTACTAATTGTAAAGTTAGGTACTGGACAGTAGGAAAACAGAAACCTATGAAAATAAGGCACTTATAAAACCTTTAGCTGTAACACTGCAAGTATTGGTATCCCAGTTAGATGAATCACCTTTTTTTCTGTTAAACACTCATACTCCTTTGAAGTTAGATCAGTTTTCATCTTTTATTTCACCTCACAGGAGGTCTACGCTACAGTTCCATCTATTGCATTGTGTCTATGGTAAGCTTCTCTGTCTTAACCTCTAAGACCCCTGGGCCAAAGACAAAAACCTTAGAACTTTAATCCATGCATGCCTTAAAAAAGCAAAGCCACCAATATGACCCCAGGATAAACAGAGCTCTGCTAAAATGATGACACCGTTTAGCACTACTTCTTACTTCCCCCACTTACAAAGGGGCATAAACAATGTCACAAGAGCCAAGACAGAACAAGGGGTTGTACTGGTCTAACTCTTGCATGTAAAGCTTTTTCTTTTGACAAGGAAGTTTACCATCAGGATGTATGTACACTGTTTTAGACAAGATAATGTATACAACTGAGGCTATGTGGTGACTGGGCACGGAGATTAGCATCAGCCTCAGTCCTCTGCAATGGGAAAACTGTAGCTAAGATAGCATGAATATGTGTCACCTTAGGCAGTAAGAAACTCATAAGTGAAAAGGATAAATCCTTATAGGCAGA